ATTTGAATTAATGCTGAGTAGCTTGTGGATTTTTCACCAGGGTTCAATCTTTTTTTTTTTTTGGTTAAACTGTATTTAATTTAAATTTATTAATCTGATTTTGAAAAGTATTAGCTAAGTTTGGGTCATATGGTCACAAGAAAAGGTAATGGCACCATTTTCAGTTTTTTGGTTTTCTGCATAAATTGGTCATTAAATGTGATTTGATCTTCACAAAAATCAAATATCAACAAACGCAATATTTCTATGCTAATAAAACATATGCCATGGCTATGTACCAAAATATGGAAAGAATACAGTCTATGGATTTACTTGTGAAAATATCTAAAAACTTTGGAAAGTCAAAGGAGGAAGAGGTTCAGAAAAATACAAAAGAAAAAATACAAAGAAAAGATTCCTAAAGATCTTTAGGCCAAGTTGTTGGAGTCCCATGTTGTGATCTGCAAAGTCTTCTGCCAACCTCAATCGACCGACAACAGACAACACCACCAACTCTGTCAAGAAAATTATGAAACGTAATGTCAGCTATATCCAAATAATTTCTGAAAGGTTTACTGTAAAGGACCACGTAGTTTGGTCTCGTTTCGTCTGTCTCTTGCCTATCTGCTCTCTGCAGCTTAGTGTCTGCTACAGGCTATCGTGGCTGTCCCACCTTAGCACTATTCTGATTGATGTTAATGAACGAACAGCCAATTGCAAGTAAGGAAGGTCAAGATTGACAGTCTGATGTCCTGCAAAGTTAGGTAGTGCAAGTGAGACATTTCCGGCATGTACACAATAAACAAACTATGTGCATGTGTACAAACAAGGAGTTTTAAAGCTTTTACATGATCTAGGAATTACATTATAATTCCACAAATAAATTGAAATGGCAACAACAACTAATATGTGTAGTTTAACAGCTATTTATTTATATGACCTATGCACTTTTGTAGGCTTGGCTACATATTGTTAACACTTTGACTCCGCGCTGTCCATCTGATAAGGAGAGGTAGTGTATGAAGTCTTTTAGCTGACTTTAAAATTTTAGTGCTAACATTTAGGGCACTTCATGGTCAGGCTCTGCAGTATATTGCTGACCTATTGACCCCATATTTCCCGAAGCGTGTTCTTCGTTCCTCAAGTCAGGACATTTTGGTGGTTCCCAAAACCCATTTGAAGACTAGGGGCTTTTCAGGCTGTGGCTCCTGAATGCGTTGCCCCTGTCACTGCGTTCATCCGAATCTGTTGGTGGTTTTAAGAAGCAACTGAAGACACATTTTTTTAGTCAGGCTTTTAGTTGATTTGATAGTTAGGTTTTATTTTATTTTTATCATAGTTTTATATATTATCTGTTGGTGTTGTTGGCATATTGTTGTTTTGTTTGTTTTGTGATCTGCATTGCTGACTTTGTGATTTTATCTGTGAAGGTGCTATATAAATAAATCTTACTTACTTACTTAGCTGAAACAAAGCAGACACTCACCTTAGGTCTGGGGGCAGGGCATAGAGTCTTTCCTGCTTCTCCATGCCTGGAATCGAAGTTAGTTTATCAATTATGAGTATTCTGAGTTCCTCAGGCTAAAACATCTCTTCAAAACATCTGCTAAGTGCAAATCCAAAGACTATATATGCTGGTTAACTGGTTAAGTTAATTATTCTTATGATCCACCTTTAAATTACTATGTGAACCATTAATCTCCCCCAAAAATTACTGATTTCTATTCTAATGATCCAAAAGCAGAATGGAATGAAGTGTCCTTTTTTTCATGGTTTTAAATTATCAGACATGAAATATGATATTTCACATGTGTATTGAGTCAATACACACTCCAAGCAGTTCCTGATATGGACATTTATATTGTAGTCATAAAAAATGAATTAGGCAATGGAGACAGCTTTGTTAAGTTTTGGTTAAAATGTCATTTATACCAAGAGGACAGATATGTCCATTTTTAAAGTTTTCTGGATGAGACATGCAGATGACGCCTGAAAAAAAGTACATTATAAAGAGAGTATATGTAAAAATGTACAAAAATATGGTAAAATCTTCATTGTACCAGTGGTTTATTTAGTTTTAAATAAAAAAAAACATGTTAATGTCGGAATGCTCGTTGACAACCACCTACAACTGCCTATAAAATTTAGTGACTTTTGATGCGATGATATGATGCCATGTTAAGTCTGTTGAACAGTATTAGTCATGCGTGTTGTGCCCATTGTTTTAGTTTGAAAAAGTGAAGAACCACTCTACAGACTGTTCTGCTGACTGTTTTAAGATCAAGCATGCATCAAGGATAATAATAATAATAATTCAGTAAAAGCTTATTAACACAAATGATAGTTAACAAAAAGACTGTCAAATGTTTATAAAATGTTCTCAGAATAATTAAAACTAAATATGAGCACAGCTTCTTACAGACTTTAGTTAAGAGTGGCTTACAAAAAAAGAGCAATAGTCTTTGGCTGGCATTTGTGATGGTTTGATATCGGAGTCTTTCCACCAAAAATGCAAATAGTCTGATCCATCCATCCACAGAGGCCTCTATAAAAAGCAGTGTTGAGAGGCTGAATGAATCCTGAATGCTGATCTTTTTGACACCTCAGAGAGGAAACCGTTTCCTCATCACATCTGCCAGTTGGGGATCAGTCTCTGACAACATGGACTGCAGGTGCTGAAACTGCACAAGAGACAGAAGGGTGAAGTGGAAACAATGTTTATTTTCCATAGGAGCTGGTAGTACAGTCTTATGCAAAAGTTTAGGCACCCCTTGATAAATAACAGATTTTGGTGATTTTTTATTTGAACAGATGTTAACACAGTTTCTCTTGGAAATGGAAAAAATGCACAATATTTTCAGCAAACAGTGATGCATAGTTACTTCTTATGCCATAAATTGAACAAAAATAAAAAATAAAAACATTATTATGGCATGGTGCAAAAGTTTGGGCACCCTAAGAGTTCCAGAGTCTCAAACCATCCTCTTTTCAGCTTCAGCTTTTTTACAGATGGTGTGATGTTTGCTTCCAGAATTTGCTGGTATTTAGTGGAATCCATTCTTCCCTCCACCCGTGCAATGTTTCCTGTGCCACTGGCTGCAACACAACCCCAGAGCATGATAGATCCACCCCCATGCTTAATAGTTGGCAAGGTGTTCTTTTCATGAAATGCTGCTCCTTTTTTTCTCCAAACATGCCTTTGCTGATTGTGTCCAAAGAGTTCTATTTTAACTTCATCAGTCCACAGCACTTGTTTCCAAAACGCATCGGGCTTCTGTAGATGTCCTGTTGCATACTTCAGACGTTGGATTTTATGATGGGGACGCAGATAAGGTTTTCTTCTGCTGACTCTTCCATGAAGGCCTTGTCTGTGCAAGCATCGCTGCACAGTGGAACGGTGCACCACCACTCCTGAGTCTGCTAAATCTTCCTGCAGGTTTTTTGCAGTCAAATGGGGGTTTTGATTTGTCTTTCTGACCAGCATACGAGCAGTTCTGTCCGAGAGTTTTCTTGGTCTTCCAGATCTCATCTTGACCTCCACAGTTCCCCTGATCTGCCATCTCTTAATTACATTTCTTACTGTGGAAACTGCAAGCTGACAACGCTTTGCTATCTTCTTGTAGCCTTCTCCTGCATTGTGGGCATCAATAACTTTCATTTTCAGGGTCTTACACAGCTGCTTAGAGGAACCCATGGTTGCTGGGTGTCCACAAGTGTGTGCACAAGGTTTGAAGAGTCAAAGTATTTGTACAGCTTTGAAATTGGCATTTACCAATGACAGCTGTTGCTGTGCATCAGATCTAACGAGCTGATTAAGGTCTGATACCTTGTGAGAGACTTTGAGACTCTGGAACTCTTAGGGTGCCCAAACTTTTGCACCATGCCATAATCATGTTTTTATTTTTTATTTTTGTTCAATTTATGGCATAAGAAGTAACTATGCATCACTGTTTGCAGAAAATATTGTGCATTTTTTCCATTTCCAAGAGAAACTGTGTTAACATCTGTTCAAATAAAAAATCACCAAAATCTGTTATTTATCAAGGGGTGCCTAAACTTTTGCATAAGACTGTATATACAGTAGTAGCAGTTCATCACACATCCTAACATGACACAAGCTCTAAAACAGACCAACTGCCAGCAGCGGTTTGCACACATGGCGATTAGGCTGCTCATGAGAAAATATGTGGACGAGAAATCCATTATCAAAAGTAGGCAAATAAATTATCTAAAAAGCAGGAAAGGACAGTTGGGAAACACAGGTTACCAGAGTCTACAATGTGTTAAAATGTCTTATTTTGCTGCAATAACTGAGAAACAATAGAGGGAAAAAAACCATTACTAACATATCTTATATTTATACTTAATATCAATAAATTAATAAAAGTCACAGAATTTTCTGTTGAGGGAGTAATCGATTTGTCTAATGATCCTTTTAGCAGAAAGAAGGACAGTGTTCAAGTTGAACTTTTTTTTTATGAGTTTAAGACACTTGTCAATGAAATTGCTGAGAATTTTACAATGAACTCTGATTATAAAATGAGAAGGACAAAATTACTAATACTGTATCTGTCAATGGCTCAAACTGTTACTATTAAGTCCAAGGAAAAGGAACAAAGCCTCACTCCACACTGGAAAATATTTCATTCCATACATCCGCATGACATTTACTCTATAACTGAATGCAACATGTATTTTAAACCATTTTAGAGGAAGCACTTACTGAATTCTTAAAGTTGGGAAGTAAACTGACCACAGCTGTTAAACAGGTCTTCTCTGTCAGGAAACCTTTCTTCACCAAATCTGCCACAGTGTCCTACCCAAGAAAAAGGCCAGACACTTCAGTCATCAGCACACAATCTGATCCAACAGGAAGGTGAGTAGTTTCTGTGGTGGCTTTACCTTGGGAATCTGAATGCAGATGTCAGCTAGAAACTCAGCTGTGACCTCTGCCAGAGTCTGGAGCTGTTCATCTTTTGTCTCTTCTTTGCTGGTACTGTCATCTTTGCACTCACTGTGGTACTGGAGTACTCGCAAAATGGTCCCAATGAGGGGCAGACCTAGACACAAATGAGCAAAACTCTGGAAGTTATATACCAGAACTAGTCATATTAAAAGAAAAATAATGGACGGTATGATCAAGTTTGCCCTAAATCCTTGTACTGTACCTTTATACTGTCAAATACCTACTGTATTATCTGTCAGTACCAATATGTCTGTCTGTACTGTGACTGTCAGTTCTAGTCTAAGCAGATATAATTGTTAAGCCTCCGCTCTGGCAATACCAGTGGCATCATGTTTTCAGGTTGTCCCTCCATCTGTATGATTCTTGTGAATGCAATATATCAGGAACACCTTGAGGGAATTTCTTCAAATTTGTTTCACCTGGACTAAAAAATGAACTGATTAGATTTTGGTGGTCAAAGGTCAGTGACCTCACTTCTGTCCCAAACCCATGTCTTTGACTGGTTGGCAGAGGTAAACAACTGCAATGTGATAATTCTAGTTATATTTTAATTTCCTCTAAATACTACAGCTGCACGGATGACAGTTTACATTAGGAAATATGGCATTCATCAAGCCTTCCCATTAATAGTCATCCATTGTACAGGATGCAGTAGTGTTTTATTTAAGATCCATATTCTTTAACTGTGTTGGATAGGCTCCTTTCCCACCACAAGTAAAATACAAAAATTTGACTGTAGTATTCAACACATTGCAGTAGCAGTGTGTGGAATGTAGAACCAAAACAATCCTGCCAGTTTCTGAACAGAAAAGGAAACAACTGGTAATAACACAGTGCTTGTAATGTTGCTTCAAAACATACTTGTGTCAGTTTTGCTGCACCACTGATCCTGGCATCTATAAAGAGCCTGAAGCACAGAAAATGCCTGGATCAAAATGCCGCTCTGCTCTTGCAGGACAACTGGAAGATCATTTGGCTGGCAGAGGTCCTTACATACAACGTCACAGACAAAGTCCCACAGTGCTTTGCCGGGTCCATCAGGGGCGGCTGGAAGAAACACAAAAACGACACACCTTCTCTGTTAATAGTTCACTTCAGTCTTGTATTGTTTTATTAAGTCAGCAACAGAACACCTTTAAATTCTGTAATAACGAGCCAACAGCTGAACTCAAAATGATAATCCCTCTTACCAAAAACCTGAATGCCTTCTGCTATGGTGGTGACGAGTTGGCAGATATGAAGGTAAACCACTAAGCCACTTGGACTCTCTGATCTGTGGAAACCATTTAAAGGATAAGGTCAGTCATTTTCAGCACTCCCTATACAGAGACTAAAACCAACAATGAAATATACTGGTCGTGTCTTTTGTAATGAAGACATCACCCAGTGATTTTTATGTGTTTTTAGTCATTTTTGAACAACAGAGGTCTATGGCACAGACGAATAAGATGATCCAGGTTGGAGACTGACAGACAACTTTGAGTAGAGGCAGTTGGTTTTAGTCTTAGTATGGAGAATGTTGAAAATACTGGCAATATAGGAAATGACCAATGTTTTGCTTTAATATTGTTGAATGCTGAGCGTCAGCTACATTATCAACATCACGCATTTAGTCTGAACTCTGCCGTATCAGACCAGTCATAAATAATATATCCATTTTATAAGACAATGTCAACAAATAACCAGTGCATTGCATCGACTAAAAAAAAAGACATACAAATAAGGAAAAGGAGACTGAGAACACTTCTAACAGCAGAAATAACTGTTAATTTAAGTAAGGTTATGACCATAATTCAGATATGCAAATTAGATACAGAAACCTCTTTGCATTCACATGTAAGTGGAGCAAAGAGCATTTATAAATAAGGACTACAGTACAAGAAATAATACACAGTCTGTTTTAAACCTGTTTGAAATGTTTTTTTAAGGAAATATTTTTATATTTCTGATGGAAAAAAAGTTAGGGAATAAAGTTTTTTTTATTAACATCAACCAGAATTTCGTTTTCAAACTCCCACCTAAGCTGCTTGGCTGCCTCGAGAAGGCATGAGGCCACATCCAGATGGCTTTCACCAGCATCATCCTCCTTACTTGACTGAGCTGTGATCCAGCTCTTCATCAGCTCTTCATCAAGGTCAAACAGTTTGTCAACCAGCTCTCCGACCTTCTCGAGCAGGTCCGCTGTAAAATACATTATAACTATTTTATAAAGCAAATAGCTTAGGACATCAAAGGATGAGAGTTTGTGTAAGCCAGTTGGATACGTCAGCTTATTATATAAACAATGAGTAAATTCAAAAGTACTGTTCGTAGAACTGCACATGATGAAACAGAGGTTGGAGCACACAGATGTCTGCTGTCGTATTCGCTGAAGCCACAAGGAGCAGACATCTTTCTGGGAGACACATGTCAGCAGCAATCTGCAAAACATCATCACAAAAGGTGAATACCTCACTCTCACTCTCCATGTCTCACATGTCTCCAGAAAATGAAATTGTCACCTGCTTGTTTCTAGAAGGGTTGGAGGATCTGTATCTCCGAGAAGAAGCAACAGCACGGCACTGTGGACACAGAGGGAGTTGCATTAAGAGTGAATCACAATAGTGAGGAAAATCAATTTTACAGCAATTACAGATAATGACTTGTACTCACCCTAAGTCTTCATTCTGGCTCAGCGTCAGACACGTTTCAGGAAAACAAGCAATGTTCCCAAGAATGCCCACACAAATTTCCTAGAGATGCAATAGAATGACCTGTCATGGGATTCTCAAAGCCCAAAAATGTACCATCAGAATTAAATACAATATATAGCATTATATGTTGACAAATAATGCAGAAAATTGACAGCATTTCACTCACTGTGAGACGTGGACAACGAGACTTGGCTATCACTCCAAGAAGAATATCTGCAGCTTTGAATTCCTGCAGAAAACCAGCCACATCCTATACATAGTTGGAAAATAAATTAGTTAATATAAAACTTTCCATTTATATCTGCAGCTAGACTCAATTACAGAAACACCTCTCTGTATAACGCAGTACAGTTCAGCAGCAGCACAAACATCAGCCTTAAAAATGACTACAAGTAAATCAACTTTTTTAAAAACAGCCTCAACAAATATTGACCAATATCACCATCATGAAGGGAGGGTTCACTGCAGAACTGTTGTATAAGACTGCATTAGTGTTACTAGGTGTGCCTACAGTAATAACCTGTCAACTCAGTGTATGGTTTTTCACTGGTGAGGGTAAATGAATGGCAGATGCAAAAACACCAGCAGCAAATCATGTCTAACCAAAGAATATGAAGCATACTGGACACAAATTAAGAACTCTAAACCTTATCCATCGCCATATCCCAGATCCTACATAGAGCTTCCTCATCTTCTTCAGGGAGCTGTATTTGACCCTCACAGTCCTCCTCTGTATGCTCTGTGACCATCTGCAAGACAGTTTACAACAATTAAGTCATGTTTGCTATAATGGACAGTGTGTACTATAGCTGAGAGCAATGGCACAGACAGTTAATGTGTAATACAGTGGGATGCTCAGATTTTTCACTGCAACTAACTTGATTTGTGGTTTCTAAATTAGCAGGCAAAAAATGCTACTGTTGGATAGCTCAAGAAAATAAAGGCAACTCAAACACCAGTGTAGTAGTGTTTGTGCCAGTTTACATTAATGTTGTGAGATTGATGGATCAGGTTGTGACATTAGCCTGCCTACATGGATGAGACGAGTCAGAGTGCTGAAAAGCCAGTGCTTGCTGTAAACAGTGTCTCCAATGGCATCCAAATCTTCATTCTCTTCTCTATCAGCTGGGTCTGGGGGTGGTGATGGGTTACGATCCATTACAGGAGACTGTATTTCAGTTGGAGATGAGGATACCCCATTCTCTGCTTCCTTAGCACCATCAACACTACATTCTGGAAAAAAACAGTGACATGGATTAGAGCTGGATGATACTAAGAAGTGAGAGAAACCATCTTATACCATTTCCAATAACGTAGCTAATATCTCAGGTAACAATAGACCATCAATGAGCAGGGCTGTTTTATGGAAAGATTGGATGTACTATATTTGAGCATCAACATCATGTGAAACTGCAACAATAAGCTCACTAATCAATTATTCAGTCAAAAATGAATAGGCTACCATTTTGATAATTGATTAATCATTTGTGTCACCCTTACTATGACTGAAGTTTTTGCTACTTCATAGAGTGTACCAGATGAATTTATAATGAAATAATTGTGAGGTGTTCCTAATCTGTCCATTCACTAAAAAGATATAACAGCATTACAAGTTACAAGTGTATTCGAAAATTTACTAGAGTTAAAAAACAAAAGTTTTAAAATGAGCATAAACTTAAGTAAATAAATATATTTTCCACTGAAATGTAGGTTAGCGCAGGTATAAAGTAACATGACAACGGAAACAGTCAACTAGATTATTAACGTTACCTCAAAATAGTACTTAGCCTGGTTACTCGAGTATATATACCAAATCTTTTGTTAACGTTAACGTTAGTTAACGGGATCAAATAAGTAGCTAACACTACGCAAACTTTACATAAAAAGTTAGCATCTATTTAACATTTAACAATTTAGCTAGCATCTGCGCACTTTGCTTCTAAAACTGGGTTACTGTCTTGCTGTCCAACACATAAGTGTCCTTCATGTCAACTCACCCATAATGTCCGGCTGATAAATGTTATTATCAGAGTAATCACATAAAAGAAGATGTCATACTTCAGTTTCAAACGATATTTTCAAACAGCCACCATTTAGCATCAGTAGCTAATTGCGCATGCACCAAATCTGTACAGTCTTCTTCTTGCAGGCGACCACCTCAAGCTAAATGAATGTCGCCACCTGCAGTGTGCAGAGGGGATGACATGTACTCCAGGGAAATAAGGTAAGGTGTACCTGAAGAAGGTTCCGGGTTCCAGTGTGTGGAGTTTGCATGTTGTCCCTCTTCCTGTCTCTCCTAACACCCCCCTCCCCCCCGACTTTATTCAGCCTTATTCAGGAATAAGTAGTATAGATAAAGGATGGATGGATGGAGGTGTAGGTGGCCGAGTGTTTGCCCAACTATAAAAACCATATACTGTATATACTGTACATTATAGTCTATGGTTACAACTTGTTTCCCGTCCTCACTGACTGATCCTCACCCAAGGTTTTGCTTTATCTAGCTAGGTTTAATCATATTTTCAATTAGTATACTACTCAAATTTAAAATAAACACATGTAAATTCACCAATTTAAAAACGATGATAAACGGCTCGCCAGAAGAAGTCATACAATTGTATCTAATAATTACTATTTAAATGAATAGGCTAGTCAATCCAAATCCAAATTTAGTCTACAGTAATACAGAGTCTCTAAAGTGAACCTTTGTTTTTGTTCTTTTTTTCTTTGCCAAGGCAAACAGAAAAGCTTGCATTGGCAGAGCACTATAAAATTCACCTGGCACCTAACACTGGGGTTGGGTTTGTTTCACGTTCATGCCGAAACCATAAAGCAGGATTCAGTCTTTTCATAGGAAATGACTTCAACTATTGACTGTTAAACAGTATTATGTCAACATGTTTCAAAACACTGAATCGTCACACCTCTAATCAAAACTGTCTAGAGGTAATTTGACAAATGTACTGTCCTCCTTGGATCAACACAGCATCAGCTGTCAGGCAGGAATAACTATACTCCTTTCTCACCATGCAGCTGTCCCCCTGTAGGAGTGGTCCAAAGCTATGTTTGCACTTGGAGGAGCTCCCACTCGCAGTACATCCGCATGACAGCCTGATCCTATCCAGTGGGTTCTCTCCAGGTACTCCAGCTTCCTTCCACAGTCCAAAGATACGCAACTTAGTTTGACTGGCAACTCTAAATTGCCTGTAGGAGTGAGTGTGTGTGCGTGCGTGCGGTTGTTTGTCTACATATCAGCCCTGTTACAGACTGGTGACCTGTCAAGGGTGTACCCCATGTCTCACCCAGTGTCAGCTGGGTCTGGCTCCAGCGGCCAAGTGACCCTTTTCAGGAATGAGTGGTATAGATAATGGATAGATATGCAAAATACTTTTTTTATACATTTGTTAAGAGCTATTATCACAGATTTTTTTAAAGTGAGTGAACAGCTTTTCTAAAGCCAAACATGCCTGGGATTTAAAGTATTAAGCTACCAGCTAGAGTTAATTAATAGTACATTCTTATTTATGCATCCCAAACTCTCAAATCACAAATTTGCAACCTCAACCAGCAATTACATATTACTTTGTGATTAAATGAATTGCTTTCAAGTTGGTGCATAATTTTAATAGGCATGACACAATCCTGTTCTCATGACTGTGAAAGTAAAGGTTTACAGCTTAATTTGCTTGTGTGTGCTAACATGACACTGCTGGTATAGAATGACTGTAATCAAGGATGTGGTATAGTCATTTCAGTTGCACATCCTGCCTTATTCATGATCCAGATGTAATTTATATACTGCAGTATATTCTCTTACTACATTAAAACAAATATTTTGGTCATGAAGTGGGAGCAGCAAGTTCAGCCAGGCAGTTGAGAGTTTCTTCTTCCCAGTCATTTTTAATACAATTTTACACGACATTACACAACCTAATGTTCCAATTATAGTTTCCTAAGATCACAAAAAGCCAAAGAAGAGGAATAAAGAAATCAAATAAGAATTCATATTTCATATATCCTATAAAGATTTCATAAAATTGTAAAAACAAAAGAAAGAAAACAAAGAAAAGCCAGAAATATTATTCTCCATACAACCGATCAAAAGGGCGTAGTCTGAAGCTTTATCTTATAAATGCCTACTGCTCTTATGTCCTCCACAAATTAGTAATTAAGGCATCTGTCAAGTCAGAATATTCATATACAGTTTGTCTTTGTTGAGTGCTCACCAGTTGTAAATTGCTGTAAATATGTTGATTAGGCCACAGATATTCTGGTTTCTACAATGCATCATGTCTGACATACAGATCCTAAACAAAGTATTACATATATGCATTAAAATAACTTCATTAAATTGACATAATGTTGTATAATGTCAGAATAAAATAGGCCACAAATATCATATTTATATGCAATGTTTACATAGGGGGAATACATATATTTTAAATAACTGCAGTTTTTATGTGAGCAATGATAGGTGCATATCACTCCTTCTTTTATCCGTTTCTCCTTCTGACAATAATTTTGTGTGTGTATGCATGTCAGTGGACTTGTACTACCTGTATCTGATCTAAATATATTAGACTTGTCCAATCAGTGGGGACATGGATCAGACATGTTTGTCCAGCACATCCCACAGATGCTCAACTGGACTGAGATCTGGAGAATTTGAAGGCCAAGTTGACACCTTGAACTCATGGTTGTGCTCCTCAAACTGTTCCTCAATCATTTTTGCAATGTGACAGGGGCATTAGCTTGCTGAAAGAGGCCACTGCCATTAGGGAATACCTTGAAGGGGTGTACTTGGTTTGCAACTATGTTTAGGTAGGTGGTACATGTCAAAGTAACATCCACATGAATGGCAGGACCCAATGCTTCCCAGCAGAACATTGCCCAAGCATCACACTGCTCCGCTGGCTTGCCTATTGGTCTTGGGGCTAGGTACCAACCACTGCAAACCAAGCACACCCAACAAGACCTGCAGCGTGGAAGATACTCTGACCCAGTTGTCAGCCATCACAATTTGGTCCTCATCAGAGTCACTCAGATCCCTACACTTGCCACTTTTTCCTGCTTCCAACAGATCAACTTTGAGGCCTGAATGTTCACTTGCTACCTAATATACCCCACATACTGACAGGTGCCATTGTAATAAAATAATCAATGTTATTCACCTCACCTGTCAGTGGTCGTAATGTTATGGCTGACTGGTGTATGACTCACATAATTTTTATATTCATCAAACCATTCAGTGACCCCTTGTGCCCTATACATGGGGGCACTGTCATCCTGGAAGAGACCACTCATTTCTTCAGGTGTTCCTCTAATTTGTCATCAGTCAGTATTATGGCTTATAAGTTTTAATAACAAAATGAAAAAAGTTCAATTTTACTGAAGTCTGTCACAATGTCATTCAAATGTAACTACTTATTGAAGAAAAGAGTGCACACTGTTTATAATACTGTTTTATTGCTGCTCATTCCATAGAAATAAAAGCTCTTTATTAAAGTGCAAACATATTTGCTCAATGAATAGATAAGGAGGAGGAAGGATAAATTATATAGAATTCCATTGAGCATATTTGCTAAGTCTTGGCAATAAAACATCAGGTCCCACTCAGAGGGTGTTGACAAAAAATTGTGCAGTTTCAATATAAAGGGCTGCTGAGTACAGCCAAATTATTACCTACTTTGGTGACAGCAAGTCCACAGTAGCCACAATGAGGTGGAGATGTGTGTGGTTGTGTTTCCTTGCTTTGTCTGTTGCCAGTGTCACTGATGTCCAAGCCAGACTGGGTAAGACTTCATTGTGTTGTATTCTGTAAAATGCTTTTCAAGATTTTGTGAATGGGTTGTTTTGTTTAATGTATACATAATGTTCAAATACATAGAGTACAGCACTGTCTCTAATATCAGTTATGCAGAATATTCAGTGACTCAGTCTCTTTCTTGTATAATTTTTCAGTTCACAACCATGTTAGTAGCATCTGCAGCACATGGGGCAGAGAGCACTTCAAGACGTTTGATGGTGACATGTACCACTTCCCTGGTATGTGTGAATACGTCCTGGCCTCAGACTGCCACGAGTCCTACCGGGAGTTCTCAGTGCACATGAAGAGGACAGAGAATGACGGGAACTCTGCAGTCAGTTATGTGGTGGTCACAATCAATGACCTTTCATTCAAGCTCACTAAGAACCTGGTCATTGTGAATGAAGTGCCGTAAGTAAAAAGCCATATAGCTCGTGAAACCATCTGTACTTATCTTTTGTGATGTTTGCGCATTAAATTAAAATCAATTCTCTTTTTCCTAGTGTCAAAATGCCATACTACAATGCAGGGGTACAAGTGGAAAAAAATGCTGTTTACATCAAGCTCCAATCCAAAGTCGGCATCACTGTCATGTGGAACAGAGATGATGCAGTCATGGTAAAAACATAAAACAGACTTTAAGGAGTGCATTGTGATACACAGGCAGTTTAGTTAAGACTCCTTTATGATCACTGGAAGATGCTTTCTGTTATTAAGGTGGAGCAGACTAACCAGAGAGAGGCAGTTATAGTGGATGGTATTTACATTAATTCCAAAGGTTTCTGCAAAGGAAAAAATTTTTCCTTTCAGTCAGTTTTTTTTTCTTGATACAATTATTCTTGACAAACACAAGAAGTGCAAATTAAAGTTTGTTAGCTCACACCATGATTTATACTGTATATAAAATGATGTGTATGACACAGGTATGTATAAAATCACAATCATAAGGATTCAATCCATGTCTTTTTTTTTGAGTAATTATACTGCAGTTCACTTGTGTTGTGTTTGCCTTTCAATATTTTAGTAATGCACAAGTGTTAATAGTTTTAAAGTTCATTAAAACCTCTGGTTGTGCTGCTGTGTTGTAGGTGGAACTGGATCCTGACTATACTAATCGTACTTGTGGACTCTGTGGAGACTTCAATGGTGTTTCTGTCTACAATGAGTTTATTTATGAGGGTACATATGGTTATTCACTTTATGTGTTTTTTCATTTCTTTTGGTATCTATTGTATCTTTTGCTTGAGACATGAATATTATTATATGCAGGGCGCAAACTTAGCCCAGTTGAGTTTGGCAACAAACACAGAGTCCATCGCCCAAATGATGAATGTGAGGACCCTTATGAAGAGGTTGATGAATCACTGGAGGGTGGGGAAATACTGGATTCATGCAAGGAGTTTGTGAGTTTATTACCCACATAGTGATATGTAGTAATATTTATCAACAGAATAACTTTTGACTCTATTACACATTTCTTCTTCTCTTTTAGCAAACCATCTGTGAACAGATGCTGCATTCAGAGTCCTGGAGCTCCTGCACCAAACTAATTGATCCTGAACCTTACATCCAGGCCTGTGTGCAGGATATGTGCGGCTGCTCCAACAGCACAAAGGACCACTGTGTCTGCAGCACACTCTCTGAATTCTCTCGACAGTGTTCCCATGCCGGAGGACAGCCACCCAACTGGAGGACGCCTGAGTTCTGCGGTATTATGTTGTGCTCTCTTTTCTGTTTTATGATCTTGATATTTTATACAGCATGGGGTGGAGAGCACTGAAATCAGTGAAAAGCATCTAGGTTCAGTTGTTCTTTGAATAAATATTTTTTCATGCAGCTCTAGGATGAGAGAATTGATTCTATTCCATTAGAAAAAGCCATTTATAAACTGCACAACAAAATGCAAGATACAGTATATGTACATCTAGATTCTATGTAATTGATTCAAATTAACATGTAGCAAAAAAAAGAAACTGTTAAATCTATGTTAGTGCTCATAAAACAAATAGAAAAGACACTTTTACCAAAAACAAATGAGTCACTTCCAATTTCTATTTATTTCAAATGTACCTTATTCTCACAGCTATGCAGTGTCCATTCAACATGGTTTATGAGGAGAGCGGCTCCCCTTGCATGGATACTTGCACACACCTGGATACAAGTTCACTGTGTGAGGACCACAAAATGGATGGCTGCTTCTGTCCTCCTGGTCAGTGCTCATCACATGTGGGCACACAATAGTACATTGTTTATAGTTTCCTGTTTCACTTATAATTACCTTTATTATAACCGTCTACTTCAGGAACTGTGTTTGATGATATTTCGCCAAGAGGGTGCATTACTCAGGCTGAATGTCAGTGTAAACATGACAAAATTTATAACTCCGGTGAGATTTACCGACAGGACAGAGCTGAATGGTATGTCAAAAATGCTTCATAATATAAACTTAAAGCATTAATTGGGGTGTTTTTGGCATGTTAATTGGCATTGGTTGGAATGTGTTTCGCTATCTTATATATTTTGTGTTGTTTTAGTACATGTTTAGAGGGTAGATGGGCTTGTAAGAGCCTCCAGATGCCTGCTACATGTGCAGTTGAAGAGGGTTCACATGTAACTACCTTTGATGGGAAAACCTACACCTTCCATGGAGACTGTTATTACACTCTAGCCAAAGTGGAAAGCAAGGTGAATAAGTCTTTGATTTATACAATTAAATCACAGGAAATATATGATGTTAAAAAAACAACAAAAAAGGTTTATTCATTTATTTGTCCTTACTGTATATTTCAGGATGATGCAAGCCCAAAGTTTACCATCCTTGTCCAATTGGTGCCATGTACAAATCAAGAGTATGACACTTGTCTTAAGTCCCTTAAGATCCTGCTCAACAATGACAGGAACAATGTGAGTTAATGCATCTCTGTTAAGAAGACTGCGGTCCTTTATGAATTGACACTGCTATCGACAACACTCACGATAAATTCTCTTTTTTTATTCAGGTGTTAATGTTCACTTCAGATGGCACAGTGAAGCAGAATATGCAGACCATCAGTTTGCCATACCAGTCAGGTGTGTCAGACAATAAGAAACTTTAAAATAAAATGTTACTGTTACCTTTCATACATGCTATGGCACCTGAAATAAGATCATTCTCATTCATGTGATCTCACCTTTTCTTGTGATTTTATAGCTGTGATATTATGATCTTACTTGTTTTGTATTTGTCTTTATTCAAAGGTGACATCAACATATTCCATGCTTCATCCTTCCATATCATGCTCCAAACTAGTTTTGGGTTGCAAATTCAGATCCAGCATGTACCTGTCATGCAAGTCTATGTCAGCCTGGAACAGAGCTACAGAGCGAAGACACGTGGTGGGTTTTACATAAGTACTAACATGAACATTGGCACCTTCATAAAATATGTTAGCATACAATACATTTACAACAGATGACTAGTTACTATAGACATTACATAGTGTACGACCATGTGATGAGAATTTCAACTGTATATTGACTTTTTTGCTGTTGTAAATGAGATCATCATCACTTCACTGGTGCGGGGGGCCACTCAGTCCATTATTTGCAACACACTAGATAACTGACCAGATTGTTGCCCCAGCCTGATGTCAGTAGAATACTCACACAGTGGTGATATCATCTGGAACAACCCGGGGGTGGTGTCTTGCTCAAGGACACCACAGCATGCGGACTGGAGGAGCCAGGAATCAAACAGCCAACCCTTTGATTAGGAGATGACCTGCTCAACCGCCTGAGCCACAGCTGCCTCTCAAATAAACCAACAGAACTGAAAAATTGTACAAAGCTATTTATTGTTGCAGCATAGGACTTGCCTCCTTCCATTTTGCTGTTAAAGGTGTATATGGTGTAATATTTGGTTTCTTCAGGTTTATGTGGGAACTATAACATGGTCCTGTCTGATGACATGAAGACACCACAGGGGATTGTGGAGGGAACAGCAGCAACATTTTGTAATTCCTGGAAGACTAATCTTGTGTGCAAGGACAAAGAGGAACGACTTGATGACCCCTGCTCCTTCAGTGTAGAAAATGGTAAACAGTGATTTGATTTAGTCCAGCATATCTCTTAACTATACTATACTATAAACATTTATTGTTATGCCTACCAGTACTGTGTGCTTATGCTAGTATATTTAAGGCAGGTTGGTAGTCTAACACAACTATACACTCTAAAAATAATAGGGTTGGGTTGCCTTGGTAGCTGAGTGGTTACAGTGCATACCACATAACTGCAACATTTGACTCTGGCAGGGGACTTTTGCTGTTTACTGCCTCTCCCTTTCTGCCTGTGATTCCTGTCTGCATCTTTTTTTAGCAAAGGCAAAAGTGCCAAAAATAAATAGATAACTGGGTTATTGTTTCTTCATTTTCAGAGTGGTACGCCAAACACTGGTGTGCCTTGCTGCTGAGTCCAAATAGTACCTTTTCACAGTGCCGTTCAGTGGTGGATCCTGAAATGTACTACAAGGTATAGTAAAGCCCCTCTGTTTGGCTTTGATTTAATTACATTTTGATGAGACTGTAATCCTGCAAAAGTGTTTGTTGCCTTCTGCAGCGATGTACTTACGCTAGCTGTAACTGTGAGAAGAGTGAGGCCTGTCTGTGCGCCGTCTTCTCCTCTTATGCACGTGCATGTGCATCAAATGGAGTATTCCTGACAGGCTGGAGAGAGAATGTGTGTGGTAAGGATTTCTTTCTTTATGTTGTAGTAAAGTGATGTGACAATTTCTGTTATCCTCCCCTTCATTTGACCCAAACCATAAAACCGAACCATTTAATAACTATCCTCACACTGTGCACAAAACAGATAAATACACAGGGAGCTGCCCAGCCTCTCAGACCTTCTCTTACAAGACTCAGAGATGCCAGCTGACTTGCAAATCACTGGGCTCAAAGCAGCAGAGCTGCACCTCTGACTTCTTACCTGTGGATGGCTGCTCCTGCCCCGAGGGTCTTTACCTAGATGAAAACAGCATCTGTGTCCCCATGGCAAAATGCTCCTGCTACTACAACGACATCTACATAAAGCCAGGAAAATCCATCAGCATCAAAAATGAGCACTGGTGAGTTAGTTATTTCCCATTTAGTGCTATTTGACTTCAAATCAATTGTCTTAGACTTTGGCAGATTTTGCACAATTATAAAGCATGCAGTATATATGATTTATAGAAACTAAATGGTTAGGTTTTTTTTGTACCTTTGTGTTGCATCTTGTATCTTTGATGTCTTTTCCTAGTGTGTGTACCAATGGAATGCTTCATTGTCACTCTTGGAGATCCCGCTCAGCAAGTATGTTTTTTTTTTGTTTTTTTACCTCAGCACAATCATTTGGTTGATACACTGAATATTAAATAAGTTTCTCCCTCTGTTACAGTATGCCCTTCTCCAAAAATATTTCTCAACTGTTCCACTGTGGGCACAAGAGAACTTGGAGCGCAGTGTGCTCGAACTTGTTTAAACCTGGACAGCAACGATTGTGTGAGCTGTGTTTTCTGCTGCGTCCACACTGACCTTTCAATCCCAGATAACTGGATCTAGTATTTATTTCCTGAATTTAATGATAGACAGTATGTTACAAAGAAGAAATACTGTTACCAGTTTCCACAGTGGTTTCTAGACCGTAACAGCTCTTTCTGTCTTGCCAGGAGTCCACAGAGTGTGAATCTGGCTGTCAGTGTCCTGAGGGTCTCGTTGATGATGGCAAAGGCTCTTGTGTGAAAGACACTGAATGTCCATGTCAGCATAATGGGCATTTATATGCCCATGGAACAAAAATACCTCATAAGTGCAACACCTGGTACTGTATGACATTGTATTGATTAAATGTATAATATATTGCATTTGCAATATTTAAGAAACTGTATTATATTTAGCCATTTCTGACCCATCTAGTACCTGCAACAGTGGAAATTGGAAATGTACAGATAAAAAATGTCCAGGCGATTGCATTATTTATGGGAGCGGTCACTACAGTACATTTGATCAGCAAACATATGTGTTTCAAGGAGATTGTGCCTACATTGCTGTCAAGGTAGGAAAAGTGTGTCAACGTGTCTAAAGTACCAAAATGTGTTTGAACTCACTCCCTTGTTTACTCATTCACTACTCTCTATATTATTAACATCCTGTAATTAACTGAGCAATACACTCACATTCAAGATCATTTTGAATCATCTCTGACATCTATAAAAACTTGCATTTTAGGATTGTTAATAAAAAGTAGAGTACATGCCAGATACACTCATTTTATGTTACATTAAAGAGGATACATTTATATATTAATATGTGATTGAAAAAAAATGTATATTTACCATTATTCACTTTAAGATCATTGATTGTAATAACAAGAAAAACAAATTTAAAGTGCCGTTTAGACTTGCATATTATTTTAGGTTCTGGCTTTTCTACAGTATAACAGTCTTACAGACTAGTAATGGACAAGCTAAAGTTGAAATGATCAGTGGCCTTTCATGACCGTAAAGCAAACATGTTTAATGAATCTTTCTCTCTTTTAAGAACAAATGTGGAAATAAAACAGAAAAGTTCGGCTTTGCAGTTATCACAGAAAATGTACCTTGTGGATCTACAGGCACAACATGCTCCAAAATTGTCAGAATCCAGCTGGGGGTAAGCTCTCATAACAACGCCTGATATGTATTCTAGCCTAAAATATTAAACATAATGAAATATTAATAATACATTTTTACTTTACATTACTCAACATTACAGAGAAAGGAACTGAGACTAGCAAAGGGTACATATGAAGTGCTGGACCTAGGACAAGGCGCTGACATTGGCTACAGAATAAGGAATGTTAGCTTGTATCTGGTGATCGAGTCTACCATTGGTCTGGCTGTGATGTGGGATCGCAAAACAACTGTTCGCATCCTCCTGGAACCACAGCACAGCGTGAGTCACAGTAATTGTATTAGTGATGATGACTGAACTCTCTTACACTGAGAGTTTAGAGCTAGAGTTTTGATATGGTGTATCATTTTTCTTATCTGTATTCTAGCTAATTATTTTCTTTATGTTTGCTTATTAAACTTTGTTACACCAATGGTACTGATATACAGGAGCATTAGTCAAAAATCCTTTGGTGCATAATATTAATTATAATATAATTTACATGTAAAACAAGTCACAGACTCCTTGTTTTCTACAGGGAGAGGTATGCGGCCTGTGTGGAGATTTTGATGGTGATGGCCAGAATGACTTCACCACACAGGGTCAGCTGGTAGTCAGTAATCCTATAGATTTTGCAAACAGCTGGAAAATGTCCAGCGAATGCCCAGATGTGGAAATGAATGCTAATCCTTGTGAAGCAACACCCAAGCGACATCACTGGGCAACAATGATGTGTGGTATTATAACTGGAGTAACGTTCAAAATCTGCCACCATAAGGTAGTAACAGATTAATTTGTCAATTATAATTATTTAATGTTTTATGATTGAAAATATGAAGTGCAGTTTTAAAAATCTATCAATTTTGATTGATCAAACAGGTAGACCCTAGTCCATTTTTTGAAAACTGTGTGAAAGACTCATGTGCCTGTGACACCGGGGGAGACTGTGAGTGTTTCTGCACAGCAGTTGCAGCCTACGCTCAAGCTTGTAATGAGGCTGGTGTCTGTGTTGCATGGAGAACTCCAGACATCTGTCGTAAGTGAAGTAAAAATTTGGTTTTTCAGCCTTCTGTGGCCATAAACCCTGTCTTTAGATCCCAAAGGTCTTATGACCCCAGCATCTAGATGAGATTTGTCAAGATGTGTGTAACTGATAAATGAATATTGTTTGTCATTTGGAATGAGTTATGACATCCCGAATTTAGCTAAAACTAAACAAAATCCTCAGGTGTAAAACAATTATAATGTGAGAATTTATCCGGTGATGTTTAGGTTTGACTTATTTCACTTGGCACTTTATACAAAAAACAAAGTAGTTGCTTGAATCAGCATTTCAATATTTAATACACCTTGTATCTTTTTCTTCCTAGCTGTTTTTTGTGATTATTACAACAACCCTGATGAATGTAAATGGCATTACAAACCTTGCCACACACCTTGCTACCCAACCTGCAATAATCCAGAAGGAATTTGTTACAACCCCATACCTACTTTGGAAGGTAAGGATCCTATAGTGTCTTTCCTTACCTCTGTTTAATGTGAGTTAATATTTTGGTTTATTTTATATGACAAAACGTAAAAACAGATTCAATTATCTTTTTAATGTCAAAAAACAATGTGATTTTATGATGTGATTTTTACAGGCTGTTACCCCATATGCCCACCTGAGACGCCCATATTTGATGAGACCAGTCACATGTGTGTGGAGATATGTAACACCACCACTACAACCACAACCCCATCAACTACAACCCCAACGACCACGCCTACTACTACAACCGAGGGGCCAACCACGCACCCATCAACTACAACCCCAACGACCACGCCTACTACTACAACCGAGGGGCCAACCACGCACCCATCAACTACAACCCCAACGACCACGCCTACTACTACAACCGAGGGGCCAACCACGCACCCATCAACTACAACCCCAACGACCACGCCTACTACTACAACCGAGGGGCCAACCACGCACCCATCAACTACAACCCCAACGACCACGCCTACTACTACAACCGAGGGGCCAACCACGCACCCATCAACTACAACCCCAACGACCACGCCTACTACTACAACCGAGGGGCCAACCACGCACCCATCAACTACAACCCCAACGACCACGCCTACTACTACAACCGAGGGGCCAACCACGCACCCATCAACTACAACCCCAACGACCACGCCTACTACTACAACCGAGGGGCCAACCACGCACCCATCAACTACAACCCCAACGACCACGCCTACTACTACAACCGAGGGGCCAACCACGCACCCATCAACTACAACCCCAACGACCACGCCTACTACTACAACCGAGGGGCCAACCACGCACCCATCAACTACAACCCCAACGACCACGCCTACTACTACAACCGAGGGGCCAACCACGCACCCATCAACTACAACCCCAACGACCACGCCTACTACTACAACCGAGGGGCCAACCACGCACCCATCAACTACAACCCCAACGACCACGCCTACTACTACAACCGAGGGGCCAACCACGCACCCATCAACTACAACCCCAACGACCACGCCTACTACTACAACCGAGGGGCCAACCACGCACCCATCAACTACAACCCCAACGACCACGCCTACTACTACAACCGAGGGGCCAACCACGCACCCATCAACTACAACCCCAACGACCACGCCTACTACTACAACCGAGGGGCCAACCACGCACCCATCAACTACAACCCCAACGACCACGCCTACTACTACAACCGAGGGGCCAACCACGCACCCATCAACTACAACCCCAACGACCACGCCTACTACTACAACCGAGGGGCCAACCACGCACCCATCAACTACAACCCCAACGACCACGCCTACTACTACAACCGAGGGGCCAACCACGCACCCATCAACTACAACCCCAACGACCACGCCTACTACTACAACCGAGGGGCCAACCACGCACCCATCAACTACAACCCCAACGACCACGCCTACTACTACAACCGAGGGGCCAACCACGCACCCATCAACTACAACCCCAACGACCACGCCTACTACTACAACCGAGGGGCCAACCACAACCACACAGTTTACGACCACAACGACCACGCCTACTACTACAACCGAGGGGCCAACCACAACCACACAGACTACGACCACAACAACCACGCCTACTACTACAACCGAGGGGCCAACCACGCACCCATCAACTACAACCCCAACGACCACGCCTACTACTACAACCGAGGGGCCAACCACAACCACACAGTCTACAACCACAACAACCACGA